ATCACATCGAACTGGAAACTTTGCGTTTGTGCGCAAATGCTAGAAACCAAGTTTATCAGTATCGGTTTGGTTGTTGATGGGTTACAAATTCATGCTGTAACCATTTCCACGAAAGTAATGTTTTGACTAATGGACGTTTTACTGTGTGAATGTTATTTCCAATTTTTTTATGAGAACACGATAAAGCGTTGGAATAAGGCTGTATGTTTTATTGATGAAATCTTCCTGTGACCACCAGGATGTTAATTATACAAAGGACCAAATGGCTTATCCTGCATTTCATGGTTCCTGTCATGGGTAAGAAAAAATACATATGTGACATCAAATAAAGTAGGTATATGTTATTACATATTTATGTGGAACTTAGGAATTTCGAAAGTTGCATTTTTAAAACTGTCGCATTAAGATGAAGGTTATTCAAATAAAATTAGTAAATAAATAAAAACTATATTACGGAAAATATACCGGTTTAGTGAATCAAGTAGAGAAGTACAGTTTAATCGACGAAAACAGTCGTGAATTTTGATTTGTAATTTTTTGTTTAAAAAGTGATAGATCATTCTTAATTGCATGTTTTGTTTACTTTGGATATTTTTATTAGAATACAGTCGGTGATTGTAGAATTGTATTTTTTGTTTATTTTGTCTAAAGTCTTAATCGGAGATTGTTGAAGGTTTTGATCAATATATATATGTTTGTTTGTAATTAAGCACAAAGCTACACAATGGGCTATCAGTGCTCTGCCCACCACGGGTATCGAAACCCGGATTCTATCGTTGTAAGTCCGCAGACATACCGCTGTGCTACTGGGGGGCATATATATATGTAATAATAATAATGTTGGTATGTTATAATTATAAGATATTAAAGCGTGAATTACATTTTTTTTCATATTCATAAATACTGATTACAAGAAAGCTACTTATTTTTAATTGTACATGTTGTTTCTATTTCCATTAATGACATATGTTAATTAGGAGATTAATTTTTATATATAGTTTCTTTTATTCGTGAAAAATGCTCTTCAAATATATGAACAGCTTGAGACAGTAGCTCATATTTTTTTATCTCGAATGTATACATTTCAGTCCGTTATATTCAACACATTTTATTTCTCAAAGTTTGACCTATTGCACAAAATCAGTAAAATTTCTAAGGGGACATATACGATCAAAATATTGCGTTTTTTGAGGTAGAAAAATAAGTATTTTTTTAAGCCTATCAACAGATGTCAAAAATCCATATCAAAACGAATTACTTATATATATTATGTCTAAATGAAGTTTTAGTGTAGGATTGAAATTCCTCTTGTTAACCTGTTGGACGACCTAGGTTTCTCTTGTTAGTATGGATTTTCTTCAAGTTGTTAATGAACTTTATCGACTTATTTTAGATTTCTCTGCTAGCTCAGGTTTTCCTCAAGACCGATTGAGTTTTTAGTTATATATTCATTTTATTTCTTGCACCCCAGTAGCACAGCGGTATGTCAGTTGACTTACAACGCTAGAATCCGGGTTTCGATACCCGTGGTAGCCAGAGCACTGATAGCCCATTGTATAGCTATGTGCTTGATTACAAACAAACAAAATTTTGTTTCTTATGCATCTGAATAAAATAAGCCTTAAATCGGACTGTTTATGTCTGGTTGTGCAAGAGTTTGTAATCAAGATAACTTACTATGGAATATTAATCCATTCACAGAGAATTGCTAATGTGGTGAAAGTTATTTACCGCAGATGGTTTTTAGTTCATAAAGATTAGTCCTAACAGAATAAATGATGTTGTAAGTAAACATATCAATTTAAATAAATTACAATTTCTCATTAGTTTATTTACAAAACTACGGATAATGCAGCTGTGTTTGAATATGTTAGCATTTATCTGAAACTAGAATTATTCATGAATTTTAACCATGCATGTGACAATGTTATCTGTCATTATTTCCTTCATGAATATTGAAGAAAATAATAATTGTAAACTAGAAGCTGTTTAAACTGTTATTTTTTACTTTGTAAAATATTCTAATAATATATACGGTAAAGTTATAGCTTTCTAAACTCAGAAAAACCACAGAATGAATTTCAAGAATCATTACTTTTGATAGGAAAATTATTAATCTGAGTTTATGTTTATTACTAATATTGTGAAAATTTAGATTGTATTGGAGTTTCATTTTAATTTTTGGGCTTTTTCACACGGAGTAAAATATATTTTGCCTTTTTAATCCTATGTTTTATCATGATGACAGAAATTGAGTACGTTATATTAAGGCCCGGCATGGCCAGGTGGTTAGGGCGCTCGACTCGCAATCTAAGGGTCGCGGGTTCGAGTCCCAGTCCCACCAAACATGCTCGCCCTTTCAGCCGTGGGGGCGTTATAATGTTACGGTCAATCCCACTATTCGTTGGTAAAAGAGTAGCCCAAGAGTTGGCGGTGGGTGGTGTTGACTAGTTGCCTTCCCTCTAGTCTTACACTGCTAGATTAGGGACGGCTAGCGCAGATAGCCCTCGTGTAGCTTTGCGCGAAATTCAAAAAACAACAACGAAAAACAAACAAACGTTATATTAAAAAGTATTTCTGAGCCTCGATAACTACGTCATTACATTACATATCGTCACGTCCTGTAATGCTTAACTGATGATCCTGGATCTTAACAATAGCTCTGTAGCATAGTTTCCATTGCAGAAGGCTTCATTTTAAGGCTGTCATGTCTAAATCACACCACTTCTCCCTGCTTTGTTTTCATAATCCATCTAGTGTACGAGAACAACGGTTTCTCAGCACATGATTAAACAATCCTATCGCAGAGAAATACATATGCCCTGCGTCTGGCAACTTGACCAGTACGTTTTCGTGGAATAGCATGAATACCTGTTTCATTCTCCAGCTGATGAGCCTGTGTCATGTTGTCCTCATTTCCAGACGGAGATCTTTCATGGTTATGTTGCATATTGTTGCTTGGGGTAAGTGGACAGCTTTTGCCACTGCTGCATTTTACTTATCACGGCCGCTGTACGACTTGTTGCAGGTCTCTTTTTCGATAGTTCTGATGTCCCAAGTTGATCTATATTCCTTTATTTTTCAATATCTTTAAGTACAAGGGTTATCTCCATTTTAGAAATTCTAAATTCACATCTGAACATATCCTTATGACATGAGTATATATATATATATTGCATCAGAAAGGGCGATCGATTTTCGGTAGTGCTAAAGTTTATCCACGTAACACCAAACAAATTAAAAATTAACTTCTGAACCATTCCATTCTAACGCGACTTTATATCCGTTGTAGTTGTCATGTAGCTTGCTGATCTTCGTATATAAAATTGTTTTAATATAAACAATTCAATCCTGTATACTTGCACGTCAACTGCAGTAGCACCTAAACTCGTTTTACATGAACTTATAGTTAGTTTAAATTTGAGTAAGCTTACCGTATTTATTGTGAATCTAAAAAAAAAAATCGACACAGGGATGTTTATATGTTCGATGGGACAGAAACACATTAAGATATCTTAAAAACTCTAACATTTGGTTTTTCGACGAGACTGGCAAATGTCCTATGATTGTAACGATTGAACATAGCGTGTTTATTCTAAAAATATCGTTGTGATAAGTGTATCTTTGTTAGGAGTTAACAACTAGTAGTGGTATTTTCGACTTAAACATGCACCTTATGCAGTACTTGAGCTGAACATTCAGGTCAGACCGTCAAATGTTCTTATGTTTCAGATATCATCATCATGTTCTTTACAGACCTCAAGTGATCTAGAGGGAAGATATGAAAACTCTCCATTGCGTTTGGTGTTATGTCCATTCCTTGAATTCTATTCTGTCCAGGTTTTTATTTCTTGTACTTCTCACTATCGTTGTACGGCAAGTATATTTAGGTCTTCCTCTGCGTCTTCAACTGGCCTTCAGCATTGCTTGTCTTGTGAATCTATCTTTCTTCATTCTTAAAACATATCCATAATATCTCAATCTACATAATTTGAGCTTTTCTATGATTAATTATTGTCCACTTCTCTCTCTTAATGTCTCTACACTTATATGATCAAATCGTCTGATCTTCATTACATTTTTTAACAATTACTTTAAAAACTTCTCAATCTAGACTTAGTTTCGTATAATCCTTTCTATGCCAATAACAAAACTATTGAACGACTTAAGCTTCATCTTAACAGATAAACCTGCATTATTCCATATTCCATTCAATTTTATAAAAGCAGCTGCGTTTCCCAATACTGTTCTTACTACCTTGCGTGTATCTCCATCAATACTAACTAATTAAACTACCAAGATATAAAAAAATGTTCAGGTATAGCCATCCCTAATTTAGAACTGCTGATCAGAGGGAGGGCAACCAATCAAAAGTGTCCAACACCTACGTGGCTACTCTGAAATGAAGAATAAGATTGACTGTCACAGTTATAAAGTAGCATATATAGCGGCTCGAATCTCGAACCTTTCGATCCGTAACGCGCTGTGCTAGCCAATTAGGTCATGCCTGGCTCCAGTTAGATTATTGATTTTTCTAACAACAACCACGAAGCACGTATATACCTTTATAAACTTTACTTAATTATGCCACTCAACCGATTAGTTATAACAATTATATTACTAAGAAAACTCCTTCATATATTTCAAGGTAATTCTATTTTTATACCTACGATGGCAAAGGTTTTGTTATGGATATTATATGCTAACTTTTTTAAATTTTAAACACTCTAGATTAATTTATTGGTTTCAGTTTTTTATTTTTGTTTTAAAAAGACATTTCGATAATATGAACAAATATAACAGCATAAAAACAAAAGAGTGGGTAACTGTTTCATGAAGGTTAGTTTTCTGACTCGAAGACTCATCGAATTAAAATTATATTTCTTTTGTTTCTTTTCCAATAACATAGAAATATTTATATGTGTTTTTGGAAATTTAAATTTTTGTATTGGATTACATTTCGTTAACTGAATATTTGCCTTGCCTGTTGTTTTATTTAGCAGCAGGTCTGCAGATTGAACCATATTATCAAGTAGATCTCATTGATGGACTTGATGTTTTAAACTCCACCTATCGAGGCTTAACCGTAGTAGAAGGATTTCATAAACTAGCCCCAGCTGTCAAACTGACAGGTATAGTATTACTCTATTACTATTAGTTGTTATTATGTTCGTGGATCAGTAAAAGGTTAACAGTATTTGTATTTTTTTCCCATTTGTTAATTTTTTTGCAACTCTAAAAAAAAAAAGTCGATCAATGAATATTATAAGGTACTTATAACTTTTCCGTTAGTCAGACTCGGAAGAACTTAGCAACTAATGAAATATGCCACTCATTAGATTAATTAATGATTTTAATCGTATCTTGATTTTAGGTATGTAAATTTTAAGCAAAGCCTATTTGAACATATTTAATAATGTTCTTTGAACTAAATTTTAAAGGATTATGTTTCTAATGGAAGTTGTAACTATATTTTGTGGTAGGCTGTTTAATAAATTAGTACTAGTACTCAGTAGATCTTTATTGTTTTGGAGACTGTTTTGTATTGCGATTGAATTGGTTTCTCTATCTATATTTTTATCATTTCATGTGTTGGCTGATCCGTGATCGTCAGTCATACATTTGAACAGTAATTATATAATATTTCGGTTTAAATTTTGTCTAGTACTTTTTCGATGATGTGTAGTCATGAACAATTAAATTGGTAAATGTTATATTTTTTGTTATCATGAGTGATCGGTAACCATTATTTTTGGCAGTTTATGATCATGAAAGTAAGCTTACTGTTTCCATTTTTACTGTATAGGGGACAGCAGGCAGCTTCTTCTTCCACCAGAAAGTTATGATAGAGCAGCTAAAATACTTTCACTAAATAACGAATTTACATTCCTGGTGACACTCAAACAGAAACAAAGAAATACTGGGACAGTTTTGGGGTTTTCAGAGGGGAACACCAGGTAAACTTGAATCACATCTATTTATATTCCCTTTTTAACATATTTGAACTGTTGCTATTGGACGTAATTTCTGAGTGGCATCATAAGTCATATTCTTTGGTTAATTTCTTCTCTGTATCTATTATTAGTTCTTTATAGAGTGCAGAGTTCATATATTTCATTATATCTGTGTGTTGCTAAAACTAAAAGGTAATAAAATTGTGATTAGAATTTGAAACAATAACAACTAATGTAATGTGTGTGTGTGTGTTATGGAAAATCTATTAAATAATTTGATGTATTGAGTCTTGGATACAAGCTGATGCTGTAAAAAATAGCTTATTACATCTTAGTAGTAGCTCAGAATTTGGGCCTTAGGTCTATAGTTATAAACTTATATCATTTACTTTATTGAAAAGTTCAAAAGTTTATAAAATATAGATCCAACATCTGAAATTGAGCTACTGTCATATAGGGTATAGAAAGAATGAACAAGGTTGTGTTTTCTAGAAGTCATACATTTGAAACTAATAGTTGTGTTGAAAAAAAAAAAAGAGTAGTTTATAAACCACACCTCATTAAAGTTTCATTATAAAATTGTTGCCAGGGTATTATTAACATATAATCAATAAATCCATTAATTTCTAGGTTATATAATTGATAAAAATGTAAGGAACAATTTTATTTTCATTTTATCAATTTATTTTGCTCTTCCCACAAAATACAGATTATAGTTTAGAAAGCTTATGTTCCAATTATATTGGGTATAATAATTTTTTGGTGTTTTAGTTTAGTCATTTATTTTTAATACAGTGTAGAATACAACTGCTATTATTTTATGATATTTCATTTATTTCACTTCAGGTTTCTGGAAATTCAGAGTAGTGGCAGGAAGAATGAGATACGTTTGCACTATACTCACAGTAGCATGGTTTATGTAGAAACATTTCCTTATCATTTAGCTGATGATAACTGGCACCAGGTTGCTCTATCTGTCAGTGGCAATGCTGTTGATTTATTTGTAGACTGCAACCGTATTTATAGACGGGTAATTTTTGATGTTGACCGAAATGCAACTGTAAGAAACACTTCACTCTGGCTGGGTCAGAGGAATTTGCATCACTTTTTATTTCAGGTTTGTATGCATTCTTCTAGCTAACTAATACTATACGACCATTGTGTTAAGAAAAAAAAAGACAGGTTAAAAAAAATCAATACCATACTTCATCATTGTCAAAGGTGTTTAATATACTGAGCTTAATCATAAATTAAAACATTTCAGTATTGCAGCTTTCTTTATTAAGTTAATGAAGAAAAAAATATTAAGTATTTAAATATTTTATTTGGTAAGATAAGTATGTGTATAAAATTGAAGTTGATCTACTGATACTGCCAAATGCTACATTTGTAAAAATAGGCTGGTTATTGCAAGATAACTTGACTTGAAGATATAGTAGTAATGTTTATTTGGAAATTTAAGTAAGTACAGCAAAAATTTTTTTAGAAACAAAACTACATTAACATCAGAACAAAGCAGAAGTAGTATAAAGTAGTATGGAAAAAGTCATGTGAGCTATCAATATAAAATTTTTACAACAGCTTCACCTAAAAGTAAAAGTGGACTATTTGTAGTTTTTTTGTCATTTGGATTATAGACGGCTGACTTAGAGCAGTAGAACTATAGGGTGAAAGCACATGCAGATAAATAAGTATTAATTAGGCCAAGCAAACTAGATTAGCAGTTTTTAGCTAAAATTTTCAAACTAATCATAGAGGTGGATGGTTATTATTTATTGCCAACTTTTAAGCACAAATATGCTAAATTTTATGAAATTCTCCTAATTAAAGAGCATTTAGTGTCACATGATATTAGCTTAAATAATGATGTCTGATGCAGCTGTACCGAGTGCATGTGGGTGATGACAAGAAACTGTTATTCTAGATTCCATGGCATTACTATAAAGGAAGTTATTAACAGTGTTTTAAAGAAGAAAAACTACCACCATATATTTTAAAGAATCTGGTTGGTTCTGTAAAGTATAGGTCTGTTCCAAATAATAGGATTGCAATCCTAAAGCTAATGTTGGTTACTATTGAGTGTCACTTTCTTACTTGCTGTGGCTTGTTCATGTGTATTGATAAAAAGTCATGATATCTGATCAAAAACACCTTAGGTGTGTGAAAAAAAAAAGGTGTGGCCATAAAAGGATTGAGCATGCAACTTGAAGGAATGAAATCAAAATTGGCAGCCGAACTGGTAACTGCAATTATAGCATTGATAAGAATTTTACCTCAAACATCCAGTCGTTAGTTAGCTAGGCTGTGTATTTTGTTTTATCCACCATCATTCCCCTTCATTGTAAAAAAATGTGGTCTGGATAACTAATGAATGAATATTTGCTGTAAAATTCTTATCATGTAGCTACCAATTTTGACTTCATTTTTTTAATTCACATGCTCAGTCCTTTTTTGGCCACACCCTGTTTCACACCTAAGATGTTTTTGATTGGATATTATATACAACCTTGTGAGTATTTTTTGAATTGATTCAACTAAGACTGTTTTAAGAAAACAGGTTTTAAAATGCAGATTTTTCAAATTGTCTCTGCTAGATATTCTAAAACTTATTCCATTTATATCTTAAGAATGATCACTCTAATAAAATCAATAACTTCTAGGGAATTCTGCAAGATGTGAAAATAATTGGAAGGCCACATGGATATATCATTCAATGTCCATATCTTGATACAGGTGTGTTGTATGTTGTTTTCTTCTAATTTTAAATCTCTACAAACAAATCTAATGATTTCTTTGAAATAGCACTGGTTGAAGCCAGCATTGAGTTGTATCAAAGAATTGAAATATGCTTTTTTGTATCTTAAAAATGTACTTTTGTTGAAATGGACAACCTGCCTGTTTTACTTGTCATTAAACAGCATTTCAGTTCATCAGGGGATTGAAATTTTGTGTAATCACTAATTCATCACTTTAGTTGTCCATTTCATTACTGAATTTTCCCATGTATATAACTTGTTAACCATATATTTCAAACAATGTACCTAAACCTAATTTAAAGCTAATATAAGTAAATTTATTTAATTACTTTTTATTGCTAGTAAAAGATGAAAACAAATATAAAAGAAGAAAATTTAACACATACATGTAAGCACCACAACAAACATAATAAGTTGATATTGAAAATTCTGTGAGAGAATGTAAAAATAATTCTAACTTGTACATCACTTAGATAAATCAAAAAGTACCATTATCAGTTCCACTAAGTACCTAAAAATATGGCATAAAATTTATGCATTGCATATTTGTATATATTATTTCCAAGTTATATATTATGCTGACCTTTATAGGAATACAGAAAATTCATTATAGTGTATATCAGCCATTTTGAAGGCATTATATGTAGTTAGTTTAATAAGTACGGAATGTCTTGAATATAGATGTATATACTTTTCTTAACAGATTGTCCAACTTGTGGTCAATTTAAACAGTTGCAGATGTCTGTGGTACATTTGGAAAATTATATGAAAACTTTAACACAAAGAGTAAGTATGTTATTACTGATCTTTATAAACATTTTTATTCTTGCTAAATTAAATATCTTTCTTTTTTTAAGGTAAGCGAACTTGTACTAATACCTACTAGAAACTGCAGATTCAAGTAGTGTTAGTATTGTTACCTTGACACAAATCAATCTATTCATTTAGGATGTATATTCAAGTAGTGTTAGTATTGTTACCTTGACACAAATATACATCCTAAATGAATAGATTGGTTCAAGTAGCGTTAGTATTGTTACCTTGACACTAATCAGATTTATTCATTTAGGATGTATATTCAAGTAGCGTTAGTATTGTTACCTTGACACTAATCAATCTATTCATTTAGGATGTATATTCAAGTAGTGTTAGTATTGTTACCTTGACACTAATCAATCTATTCATTTAGGATGTAGATTCAAGTAGTGTCAGTATTGTTACCTTGACACTAATCAGATCTATTCATTTAGGATGTATATTCAAGTAGTGTTAGTATTGTTAACTTGACACTAATCAGATTTATTCATTTAGGATGTATATTCAAGTAGTGTCAGTATTGTTAACTTGACACTAATCAGATCTATTCATTTAGGATGTATATTCAAGTAGTGTTACTATTGTTACCTTGACACTAATCATATTTATTCATTTAGGATGTAGATTGAAATTGTGATCATTTTTATACTTGAACTAATCAGATTTATTTTATTTAGTCTATATCCTTCAATCGAGCTTCAGATGCCTTTATGCTTGTGTAATAAGTACATTTACTAACCTTGTGATTGTAAACTTGAAATGTTAACCAAATCAGCTAACTCAGGAGTGCCAAATTTATTTCACTTTGGGGCTAGGTTCATGAATAAGTGTCTGTTCAAAAGCCTTTTCCCTTCCCCCCATCACAATTGTTTAACATTGACTGAACTTTGTTGAAAACAGCTGGAACTTGTTATTAGTAATTCTATTACAAATTACTACTCTATAGCATACATTCTCTGCATATATTTTGGGTTCTGTTGTTTGGAAGATGGATTATACTGTGTATTCTCTCTCATTTAGCTGTAATTGTGAACTATTTGTGTATTGTCATTTAGATAGTTCAAGCAGAAGAGAGATTGGCTTTGGTAGAAGAATGTGAATGCCATAAGAATTGCCATATAAATGAAACAGTTCATATGGATGGCTCATCCTGGGAAGTTGGTTGTGAAATTTGCTCATGTGTGGTAAGTTTTTTTGCCAAATTCACCTTTTATTGTGTGTTTTTTTCTTTTACATTTTATAAGACTTGACAATTCTCTTAATTTCTTGATATTATCAAGTTATTTTTGTGCCTATGTAATAATGAGTAATTAAACAAGGTATAAAATATGCTTAAAGCATTACAAGCTGATATGCAAGGTAACATTAAACAAAATGATTTGTGCAGATAACTTTCAAAGTCAAGCTCTTAATTTAGACATAGAATATTGGGTTAAAGTAAAATAAAACGAGAAATTATTTTAATTTCTCATTAATTATTCTATTTTATGCCAAGTGAATAAAAGCTATTACATTGCATGTTACATATTGTAAGATTTCCAAGAATTAAATAGTACATTCTATTTATACTTGATATTATTAGATATGTCTGTATTGTCAGTTTTTAGAGTATATTTCAATAAAATTCTATTCTTTTTGACATTTATAGAAAGGAACAACTACATGTCATCATAAACCATGCATTACAACACAATGTAAAAATCCTGTTCAGCTTCCAGGAGAATGTTGCCCAATATGTCTGAGTAGGTATTCATATACTTGTTTTTCTTCCAGATTTATACTATTAAAAGTGTTATAGAATTAGTTCTTCAGAGAGATATTTACAAGAGGAAATACCTTATTAAGTGTTTTTATAGCAAACTGAAATCATAGTTTTGTTATTTTGTTTTTGAGGTGGTACATAGAAAGAAATTTCATTGTAACATTTCACTGAATGTTTAAGACAAGCTAAAGTACCCATCTTTGTCTAGGTTATGAACTAAAAAAATGTGGGGGTGGATGCTATGATAAATAATGTAAAAATCCTAACTTTCACACAATTTATTTATAGCATAACTTATTATTACCTCACCAAAAGTTTTGTATAAGCTTTAAGAACTCACTAAGTATATACTTAAATCTTGGTACACACAGTGTGATATTCAGGGTGATTTTGTATGAAGAGGCAGTGGCAGTAGGGGAGCTTTCTATTACCTGCTTTCAACACCCTCCTTCCACACTGTTTCACTTTCTTAATTAATTGATGTCATTGGCTGAAGAAGTGTCTTATTGGATGAAGTTGTAAGGTGACAGGTCTAAGTAGGAAGTGAGTAAGAAATGGCTATTCATATCAGCGTTGTGGTGGCTGTTGTTGTATCATCTTCATCTGAGTTTTTTTGTATTATTGCAATAGTATTGACCAGTTTTTGCATTACATTTCTCCATTGAGAATGCTAATGCACTCTCTGAGATATATAAGACAGTTGTGTGTTTATGTTATGTCAGAAAATTTAATGTATGTGTGTCTTCTTATAGCAAAGCCACATTGAGCTATTTGCTGTGTCCAACAAGGGAAATCTAATCCCTAATTTTAGCATTGTAAACCTGAAGACTTACCACTGTCCCACCAGGTGACAGAAAATTTAATAAAGTTTGTTTTGTTTAGTGTAAGAACATGGTGCTATATATGAATGTAGTTAATGTGAACTTGCGTCAAAGGTAATAAGTGGTCAATAACATCAATAATGGGGTAGAGGGGTTGTGAATTCCCATTAACATGCCCCTTTTTCTAAACTATCATCCCACGAAGTTTGGTTGAGATTGGCCCAGTGATCTAGTAGTTACATAAGGGACAAACAGACACACAGATTTTTGTGCTCTCTATATATATAGATTTTAAATTTAATTTCGTCTGTGATAAGCTTCATATTTGATGTATATTGTCAATACACAACACTTCTGTTAGTGGGTGTCCTGGCATATATGGCCAGAATGTTTCTTTGGATACTTGAAACTGAATATGTGGAAGTCCCCAAGATATCCATGCTTTGATCCTATATGCCTATAGGCCTAAAAAGAAAAGCCTTTCTTTATTTCCACTTTCTAACCACTCCTATTTCTTATTTTATTGCTTCAACCATAAATTTTGTTATTATTTTTTTTTAATCAAATTTTGACATGAGCTTAATTTCAAAGTAGATTTTACATCCTTGTAGCTCATTTTTTAATGATTGAAAGAATAAATCACAACCCACATTAATCAATCCTCACCATTAGTATATCGAAACATTACATGTTTGTTCACACTAATCAATCTTTACCATTAGCATATCGAAACATTACGTGTTTGTTCACACTAATCAATCTTTACCATTAGCATATCGAAACATTACGTGTTTGTTCACACTAATCAATCTTTACCATCAGCATTTCGAAACATTACGTGTTTGTTCACACTAATCAATCTTTACCATCAGCATTTCGAAACGTTACATGTTTGTTCACACTAACCAATCTTTACCATTAGTTTATCGAAACATTACGTGTTTGTTCACACTAATAAATCTTTACCATTAGCATATTGAAACATTAGATGTTTGTTCAGCTCTGGTCCTAACTCCTTATGAAATATTCAGAATGCATTGATACTATTCATAATGCTTCTGAGACACATCTTGAACAACATTACATGTACACACACACACACACACACACACACACACAGATAAATAAGACTAATAGTAAATAGGTGTTCAGTCCAAATGACCTAATCTGAAACATGCGGTGTGACAAAGCTGCATGGTTACAATGACATTTAGCATACATTTCAGATTTCTGAAATCTCCGAGGTGAGACTTCCAAAATTGATGGGTGGAAGTTCTGGACTTCCGCTTTTGCAAATTAGTGTAAGATCTGAATGTAGAATCCTTTTGTAAGCAAAGCACCGATTCATACTGAATTATTAATAGAACTGAAATTTTGAATTATTGTATATTTATTATGTAATTATACAAAACTTAATGCAATTTGTTATATTCTGGTGAAAAACTCTCAAATAAGCATTGTACAAAAAATTAATAATTTTATCTTTTACAGAAAAGTGCTTAATGAATGGAGAAATATATGACCACGGTGAAGGAAAGAAATTTGGAAATTGTCAAAAATGCTATTGTGATGTAAGCAGAATTACATTTGTTAAATATATAAAATATATGCTTTCTTGTTGTTCCAACACTATCATGTTATAATAATTTCAACACTTTCTAACTAAGGATTCTGTTTTAAGTATGACATAACTAACTTGTGTTGTGAAAAACACAGTCATAAGAAAGTGTAATACACTAATATTTAGATGCATATTATTTCTAACTAGTAATTTTGAATTTCTGTATTTTTGTTGACATCATATTGTGTGCAAATCCTTATTACTGAATGTAGGTCTTTGTAAATTTTCTTTGCCTTTGAAACCGAAGGACTTGAATTGTTAATAGTTTAAACAGTATAAAGAGGGTACATGATGGCAACAGATATATTATTTTGTGTTTTGTTAACAAGTAATGTATATATTGTTTTGTTTTTCAGAATGGCAACATGATCTGTGAAAGGAAACAGGAATGTCCACCTTTATCTTGTCCTGTAAAAGATAGCTTTATTGTAGAAGGAGAGTGTTGTAAAGTTTGCAAAGGTTAGTAACTCCAGTAAATAAAAACATCTCTATAGTTGAAGTAACTTTGATTTGTTACGTATTTGAATTTTAGGGTACATGTATCTTCCTATCACAGACTTTATTAACATAAGAATTCAGCAATAAACTATAACCTCAAGTTTATTTATACTGGCCTTTCCAGTTAAAAACGTTTAACATTATTTTTGTTGCATTATTTATTTACTTATAGGCATAGACTATTGTTCCAAAGGTCATGATTGCCATATTAATGCCAATTGCAGTAACCTCTACACTCGTTATATTTGTCATTGTACAACTGGCTACCAAGGAGATGGAAAGCACTGTGAAGGTAGAGTGTTGACATATTCTCAATATATCAATCTAGATGATACCAATTTATCCTTTACCTTTGGTGTGAAATGTATTTTTTGGAAATTGAGTAAATTACAAGATCCTTCTTTAAAGTATGGAGTATTATATACATGTTAACAAATCTTAATTACTAGCTACCTTTACAAATGTTTCAAGCTGAACCAAATTCAGTGTACCTCAACCATTTGATTGTAGATCTAAGTTAACTAAGCATTTTTATATAACTTTAACATGTAAACATTTTTGTTTTGCAGATTTTAATTATTATTTTAATTTGAGTATATATTTAAATCCACGTGTTTTTAACACATCTGTGTTTGCAGTAGTAGATAACAAAGAAGTAAACATTAACATTGACATCACTACAAATGTGAATGAATGTCTTCAAAGATTGGGGTGAATCTTATAAATCCATTGTAAGACGAATGTCTAGTGATAATTTACCAGGAATATTTGTATAATGTGCAAAAATAACATTTAACAACTTTTTACAAATTTTATAGTTTAAATCTTGATATGAGCTATCCAAATTTTCTCTAGACCCAGAAGTTTTAAATGATAGCTTTATAGTGTGGTAGTTATTCTATTTAACTGGTATTTTGTTCTATCTCCTTAATAGTGTCAAGTGACAATGTGGTGACTGTTTTTAGTATGATATTTATAACAATGTATTTTTTAAATAATAACTACAGTGATAAACATTGTAAGGATCGTTTTGTCTTCACTATCTTATGAAGCTATTTCATTGTACACCTAGGCTAACTGAACATTTTTATAAAAAATTTTTTGGTGAAATTTTCTTTTATA